CAAGGACACGCACACTCATTCACTCCCCACACAGGTGGCGTGACTCATTCACTGTCACATGGTGACACACTAGCCATGTTACACAAGGGAGCAACAGTTACACAGAACAGATACTAAGAAACAGCCTGAAAGAGACAGCCAGATACAATGTAGCCATTTGGCTGGGCCCAGCCCCTCCCTCTTGCGTAGACTGACAGCTGAGCACCCCAATGGGACGCCAGCAAGCCCCTCCCCTCGGTAAAAAGAGAGCACTGGATTCACTGATCTCTAAGGTCACTCTCAGCTCTGACATTCTATGTTCTATGTTGTACGTTCTAAGCTCCTAGCTCTGACATTCTACGTTCTAAGGCATTCTAAATAAGTTCCCTCCACTTCTTATGCTCTAAGATTGACATTCCTTGTTCTATGCTCAAAGTTCTCACCCAGCTGTGATAGTCTACACACTTTAAAAAAAAAAATGTATAACTTTTGTTTTTATAACACCTTGATTTCCAAATATATACCTCCCTCTCCCTTACCTATCAAGCAGTCCCTTATAACAAAAAATAAAGAGGGAAAGGGGGGAGAAAACAATTTGGCAAAACCAACCAGCGTATCAACGACATTTGAGAGTATATGTAATATTCTGCCCCTGTAGTCTCCCACCTCTGCTGAAAGGGAAGGTGGGGCATTTTTTCATATATCCCACATCCTAAGACTCTGCCATTCCATATTCTGTGTTCTAAGCTCCCCACCATTTCTGACATTCTGTGTCATATGTTCCATATTCTGCTGTCTCGTTTATGAGTCTAATGGGTCCTATGCTGGCCCCAATCCTCCACAGTTCCTGCTGCACGCCCACCCACGTGGCTGAGCACGTCCTCATCTACCTACACAGGAGGCACACCCAGCCTCTCTAGCTGTAAGCTTCATACATACAGGGTCCAAACTGCATAACAGATGATAGCAGAATGCCCACCACCCTCCACAAAGAAGGGACCTGGACAAGCACAGGGGGAGGCAGGAGCTCAGAGCTGCTTCTGCCATGGCTAGAGCTGCCCACCTCCCATCTCCAATCCAGATTTCATATAATCAGTGGATTCTAGTATATCCTAGGAAGGAGTAGGGGAAGGAAAGGGAAGATACCATCAAGTTCACATGAATCAGACTCAGGAGATTCCATCTAAATCCTGACTGGCACTTCTCTCTGTCCCTAAGGCAGCTCCCATGGCCTGGGGAGGGTGAGGACCACACCCCAGCATCCCACACCCCCACAGCCTCACTCCAACCACTCCAACCAGCTCCTCCGGCTCAGGGAGGAGCACTCCCTCTACCAAGAACAGCCATTTCAGATCTGGGCGACGGGTGCCAACCTCATAACCCTGGACACCCACATCCCCTGCCCCTGCTGCTGCTCAAATAGCCCCCTCCCCCTCTCAGCCTACCCCTGAGTTTGGCCTCATGCTTTGACTTTCTAAACACCACGGGACCAAAAATAAATGGGGTTCTCCTTCTGGAGGCCCCACCCTAGAAGCAAGCCTCCCTTTCACCCCCAAACCCTGCAATTGCTTCTGCGCACCCCAAAACCCTTCTATTCAGCTCAATGGTGAATCGCAAGGGCACAGCACACCAAGCACCCTGCCTTCCAACTTCACAGGCATGTGTGTGCCTTCATCTCCCCACCATGCCCATTTTGCTGCAAGCCCATGACCTCCATTCACCATGTCCTCTCTCTGAAATCTTGGAGTTCCAGGAATGGGGGAAAACAAATGGAGTGGGGGAGGAGAAGAAGAAAAAGACCACGTCCATGACCATGACTATGACCACAAAGCAGACCACTTTCAAGTGTACAAAATGCCTTCCTTACACACCAGGAGGTAGACGAGGGAAGTATTATGCCCATTTCATAGGGCCGGTTAAGGTGAGGCTCAAAGAGTTACACTGACTTGAGTATGGGTCACAGTACTGGGACGCCAACTCAAGTCTTCTGCCGCTAAGACAAGTGCTCCTTCCACTGCACTGCACTGTCCCATCCACAAGCCCAGATGCTGCCATCCTCCCCCACCCGGATCCCCAGTCCCTCCTTCTGTTCAGTATTCAATGTCCCAGTTCCCCTCCTTCCTCTCTTATTCCACCCATCCATGCTGTGTAACCTCTCTGGGACTCAGTTTTCTCATCTCTAAAATGAGACAGGTTCAACCAACTGGCTTCAGAGATTCCTTTCTAGACCTAGGGTTCGATTGGCCTTACAATCCCTGCCCCACCACTCCTCAATTTCCCAAAGCGCCATCAGCTCAACCAACTCATCAACCAGTACTGACTACTATGAGGTGCCAGGCACTGAGGATCTAAGTATGAGGAATTAAACATCCCTACTTGCCGTGTCTGCACAGGGCATGGTGCAGAGCGTGGAGGGTTCCCCTAGAACTCCCATAGGCTCCCCCTAGTTCCACATATGATCTGGGTTTATTTCCCCAGAGCTGAAAGGCCAGAAGGGAGAATGTGGTGCTGAGGTTGGAGGAATATCCAAAGATTTAAAAGATGAGAGGGGCCTGAACCTCATTTTACAGATGGGGAAACTGAGGCCCAAAGAGGAACTGCGACTTGGCCAAGGTCACAAGGTCCTAAATGGAAGAGCAGGTCTCTTCTGACTGGAATTGCAATCTCCTCTAGCACCATCTGCACTTCATTTCAAGCCAGGGCTTCGTGCTGTATTCCTCAACCCCACCCCATTGGGGCATAAGAGAACGGGAAGGAAGCTTCCCCCTCCTGCTTGAGGGGAAGTGAGTGCCACACCCAGTCCCAGGCCTCAGGGATCTCCCTTATGGAGATCTGAGGTATTTGGGGGCGGGGGGGGGCCATGCAGGAAGCAAGGGGAAAGCTCCCAGCTGAAAGCCGGGAGTATGGCTAGCTTCCCTCTTGGCCAATCAAGAGTTGGAAAAAATACAGAAGGTGCCTTCAGGCTAACTTAGCACCCACTCTCCAAGTAGAGAGTGTTCACCAACATCAGCAATCACACCCCAACTACGGGCAGTCAGCACACTGCACCCCCAAAACTGAATGCCAGGGATCAACCCTAAGGGATCTCACACACACACACGCACACACACAACCCACAACCAGGGACCCAGCCCACACAACCTGTCCTCTACCTCGGTCATCCTCCAAGGATCCGGGCACACCCACCCCAGCGTGCACCCAGGCGCAGGAACCTCGGAGCCCAGAACACTACTACCCAGAGGCTTCTCCAGCCTGACCTCAACACTCTCTGGAGTTCAGCCAACCCTGCTTGCCACCAGCACCCCCAGCCACCTCTTACATACCCCTCGCAGAGCCCAGGGCACAGCCAGAAGCTCTACACCCTCCCCGCCTCCTCGGACTGCCTTCCTGCCTGCCATGCCCTGAATTCTCAACCCTGCAAGGGGTCCCGCCCCAACTCCACAGGAGTTCTGCCTGGCCCTCGCCCCGTAAGCAACCAGCACACAGCACCCCTCCCCGAGTGGGGAATCCTTACATAACACACGGAGGGACACACACCCTCCGCACAGGGCTGCCTTCCAACAGAACAGAGACCTCCCCTTTCTCTTCTCCCTTCTTCACTGTCCCCCAAAGTTGGAGCAGGCACCCAGGGAGGCGCCCGGAGGGGAAGTTCAGGCTCTCTCCCAACCCTCAGTCTCTCCTCTTGCCCCACCTCCACCACACAGCAGGGGACCCCCCCCGCTCCCCGTTTTTGCCCCCTCTTTTCTCCTCTCCTCCCCAAACTTCTGGTTTGAATTAGTCATTGGCTCCAACCACCACATTCCTCAGGCTGCTGGCTGAGCGCCAGGGGTTTGGGGGGGGGCGATCACCGCCCCGACGGGTTTTTTGGAGGGGGGGGGGAGTAGACGATGCAAGCCATCCCTTAAGGGTACGTTCCACACCACCACCACTGCAAACTGCCTGCCCCCTTTCCTAATGCCCTGGCCAAGAATCTCCCCCAATATCCCGTGCCCCCCCCCCGACACACACACACACACACACACACACACACACACACACACACACACACACACACACACACGCTAGGACCTTGCAAACTTCCACCTCCCGCTGGAGGACACCGAGGGAAATGGGAGCTTTCTGGCGTGGGGACCAGAAGGGGTAAGAGTAGGGTGGGGCAGCGGCTCCAGGAGGGAGGGAGGAAGGGAGGGAGAGAGAGCAGGGGGTATTCATGGGGTGTGGCCGCCCTGGCTGATGCAGCGAACACCAGGGTTAGGGGATGGGGGGGGAGGACGCAGGGAGGGGCGCAGGGGAGGGAAGGCGCGGGGCGGGGGCACTGCCTCGGAAACTCGTCTGCTGTAAACACTGGGATAGAAGGGGAACGACGGGCGGGGCTGCCGCCCCAGCAGCGCGAAGAGGTTGGGAGTGGGGCGCAAGGAAATGACTCCAGGACCAAATTGGGGTTTGAAGAGGTGGGAACCCTTGGGGCTGCGGAGCTGGAAGAAGTGGGCTCGGCAGGGAAGGAGGAAGGGAGGGAAAGGGAGGCGAGAGCCTAGGACACAACTTTCCCAACTTTGCAGAACCCACGCCCAGACTGGAGAGACAGCAAGAACTGGGGGGCGGGGAAGCGGTGCGCTCCAGGGCGAGGCAAGTTGATAACTCCAGATTGTTCCCGAGCCTCTCAAACTGCACCCTAAACACTAGTCCATCCCGACCCCTTCTTCTGACTCAAAAAAAAGTCCTAAAAACCTTTCTCTGCAAAGCCACCACCCTAACCGTACCCCCAAATTCTAAAGCTCACACAACCACAAGCCACATAACCCAATGGTGTCACCAAATTCTGAGGCATTACCTTTAAGGTTACCCACCCCAAAGTGCACTCTCAAACTCTCAGGCGCCAGCTAGCCTCCAGGTCGCCCTGGACAGATGGTACCCCCAAACTCTCCTGCGCTGGCCTCCAGGCCTCTCTGGCCAGAGAGCACTCCCCAAATCTCAGACGCTGCCCAAAGCGTCCCCCAGGCTGCTGTCACCGGCCCCCCTACCTGTAAGCTCAGCCCCAGGTCACAGCCATGCCCGGCAGGCACAGGCTGGAGGCTGGAGGAGGTCTGCGAGGTGGGAGGCTGCCGGCCGGGCTAGGGGCGGCAGGGACTCCCGGATCGGGGCGGGTCCGGGCAGGCGGGCGGTGCAGTACCCGCGGCGGAGCAGCTCCGAGTGGCCGGGCCCCAGCGCGCGGAGGCGGCTCTTGTAACTCCGACTGCGGGCGGGCGGGTCTGCCCCTTCCGAGCCTCCGCGGTGGGAGCGAGAGGGCGGGGCCGGGCGGGGCCCGCAACGGGGCCGGGCTGAGCTTGCTGAGCTAGGGGCCTGGGCAGGGGGGACGTGGGGGAGCGGGGCTGGGCCGGGGGTGGGGGGTCAGGGAGGAACAGGGTGACCCAACGAGGGCTGCGGGGCGGGGGCGCCCGGCAGTGGGGGAACTGGGGCAACTGGAGGGCGGGCTGGCACTGGGCACAGACGTGCTCTCCGTAGGGAAAAGACGTGGACCCTGAGAAAAGTTGGAGGTTCTTTGGGGATCCCCCAGCTCCGACTGGCACGGACCCCCTACCTGCCCCCTCCCTTGCCCAGGCTCCCTCCCTGTGTGTACCCCCCTGAATTTGTCTTGTGTGGGCCTTTGTTTCCAAGAAATTCCTAATGTGGCTCCCAATGTCTTCACATCTGGAACTGTGTTTATTAACAACTCCTCCTTACAGAAGAGGAAACTGAGTCCTACAAAAGTGCAGCAGAGCTTGACAAGTGGTGCAGTGATTTAGAGGCCAAGGGTCATCAAAGCCCACGGATTAAGAGCCACCAGGGACCTGAGAGGCCAGCCCAGCCACTCCATTTTACAGATCAGGAAACTGAGGCCCAGAATAGTGTTAGGTGACTTTGGCACAAGATCACCAGGTTCTAAGTGACAGAGTTAGAGACTGGAAACCCGAGTCTTCTGAATCCAAGTTCGGCAGAAATACAGTGCCCACCCTGACCTGTTTCCACTTTCAATCCCAGCACCCTTCCATTCAGTACAGCAGCTATTAAGCCCCTACTATATGACAGGCCAAGAAGCCTCATCACGGCCCCAACTCCCCCATGCCACCCCCAACACACATTCCCCATAGACCTGGGGGATATAATGCCAACTAGATATAAGCCCTTCCCTCAAGTAGCTGCTACTTGGGGTGGGGTTAATCTTCAGTTGAATTGTACCCCACCTTTCCTGACTCCAAGGCTCCACTGGGGGCCCTCAATGTTCCTGAGTATTTCCCTGAATCTGGCCCCTCCTCCGATAGACTAGACTTCAGGACATCCCGGCCTGAAGCCACTGGCTCCACCCCTAGAAGAAAGGAACACCGACCCCACCTCTTCAAACACCCCACACCCCTTGAAGACACTCGTGGTGAGGCCAGGACCTCCAGTGGACCTGCAGGCTCCATCTCCCCTTGGGTAGGAGGCCCAGATTGCCTTCCTTCCCTCTGAGTCCCTCTCCATCCTCCTTTTCTCTTTCCCCCTTCCCTGGGTCCTCCTCCCTTCAGAGGACGCAGAAGTTTCAAGTTTACAACTATTTCCCACAACCTCTGAGAGCAACATGAGAGTTTTATTAAACATTTAATGATCGTGTTTCAGAGTTCCCCGAAGCAGCACCCCTCCCTGAGCACACACCCCCTTTCCCTTCTCCCTCATTCATTCCTTGTCTTCTGCATCACCCACCCAGAAGTAGGCTCCTTTCTTGGGTATGGGTTGGGCAGGTTGGTTCTTGAGGAGCCTTCCAACCCTGAGGGGCCGTGAGTCTCCAGAATGTAAGGGAAATCAGAAGAGGCACCATCCCAGACCACGGTTGCCCCTCTCTGTGGCCCTCCCCTCCTGATGGCTGTGAGTGGGTTGGGGCTAGGGGCAGGCTCAACCCCATCCCCTGAAATGACAAACATGTTTACAAGCTAAAAATACCCAGCAGCCAGCCATGCCACCAGCCACAGTGGTTGTGTCCGAGGTCCAGTTACCGGCACACACTTGGGACAGGGCAGGGGGAGGGGGGAAGGTAGGAGGAGAAGGCAGGGAGGCAGGCAAGGGAACAGCCAGGAAAAGACAGACAGGAAAGGGAACACATACACACACACATACACACACACACACACACACCAATTTACATCTGTGTCTCTGTTGGTTAAGACATGCACAGAAGATACCCAGATATACTCAGGTTCCAGCTCACAAGGCAAGCACACACAGAAGTCTAGAGCCTATCATGGCACCAGTGGCCCGCAAATGGATAGAGTCAGGATTCCACCTGTATATGGAAGAAACTAAGATTGGAGTCAGGAAAACCCAAGTTCAAATTTGACCTCAGACTCTTATTAGTTGGGTGACCCTGAACAAATCACTTTAACCTCTGTTTGCCTCAGTTTCCTCATCTGTAAAATAAGGATAATAATAGCACCTGTCTCAAAGGGTTGTTGTGAAGATAAAATGAGATAATTGTAAAGCTCTTAGCACCATGCCTGGAACAAAGAAAGCACTATCATAGTGTTAGCTCTTATTGAAGTCCTTGTCTCCTCCCCCTGAGTTTCTGCTTTGCAGGTGTATCATACTTCAAGGAAGTTGCCTGAAAATTTAGATTTACCCAAAAGATAAGCTCCACTCCTAGAGAGCAGGGCCCAGCCCTCCTGCTCCATTTTTTCTATTTCCTGCAGAACGTGGTGCATGGTAGAGCCTCAATAAGTCACTGCTGAACTGAATAGAAAGGAATGTACCCTGGCGAGCCCCCATCAAGGGATCACCATGTTCAGTTCTGAGTGGCACATTTTAGGAAGAACATTGATAAGCTGGAATGAGTCCAGAGCAGGGTGACCCAGAAGGCAGAGGACCACACAAGGAGCAGTTAAAGGACCAGAGATTTGGAGAGCTAGAGAACAGTTGATTTGGGTGGGACAAGTTAGTTGTCTCCAAGGCTTCCATAGGCTCTCTCATTTGGGAGGAATTGCTCTCTGCTCTATCTCACAAGGCAGAACTAGGAACAAAAAATGATAAGTCACATTTCTCTATTTCTATAAGGTTTGCAAAGTACTCCAGGATGGACTGCTTCTCTGCAGGCAGGTTGCAACCCAATCCTATTTATTAACTTTACAAAAGATTTTTTTTTCCTTTACAAAATGATGGAGGATTTAAAAGTGGAGCAAATCCTACAAATAGGATTTAAAAGTAAAAGGACATTCTCATTCCATCCTTTGAAAAAAATCCTGGGATAGAAAAAAAAAAAGAAAAAGAAAAAATCCTAGGAGAGAGGTGCAATTATTATCCCCATTTTATAGATGAGGAAACTGAGGCTCAAAGAAATTAAGTGACTTGCCCAGCATCAAACAGCCCATCAGGTGTCTGAAATAGGATTCAAACCCATGTTTCTCCTGACTCCAGTTCCCTATCCCTTGAACCCTGCTAGAGAGGGTACAGGCTGGTTTGGTCTAGATGGAAGGAAAACTGCCTAACAATCAGAGTCATACCAGAGTGGACCTTTGACCCTGAGAGGTGATGGGTGCCCCTCACCCATGATCTTCCAACAAAGGCAGGGAGACCATTTGTCAGGGGAGTAGCAGAACAGGGTCTAGATCAGATAAGGGTTGGAAAATATTAATCACTAATTGATCAACAAGCATTTATTAGTCACCTACTGCATGCCAGGCACTGAAAATATAGACCGCCTCCCAAAAAAACCCAAAACCCATCAGGTCTCTGTCCTGCAGAAGCTTAGATTCCGTTGGAGCAGATAACATGAACACATACACCAGCCCATTCCAAATCCTTACTTACAAACTAAACACATGAAATGCCAAATGCCTGGGAGAGGGGGAAGGCCCCAGGACTGAAAGAAGGATAAAAGGCTTCAGGGAGAAGTTAACACTTCAGCTGAATCTTGAGGGAAACCAGGGATTCCACAAGGCAGAGATAAGGAAGAAAGCATTCCAGGCATGAGGGGCAGTCCAGGCAAAGGCCCAGAGACCAAGGGGGAGTGGCCTGAGCGCGGAGCAGCAAACAGGCCAGATTGATGGGCAGAGCTTCTTCAAAGCCCCCCCTATCTAGGAGATTCTGGAATCCCATGAATGATGGTGTGGGGTCAGGGGAGACCTGGCCGAGGGGCCAGAATCCTCCCTCTGTCGTTTTCTAGGGCGGGGCACTACCGCTCTCTTGGAGCCTCAGTTTCCTCCTCTGTAAAATGAATGGGCTGGCACTAAATGGCCTCCAAAGTCCCTTCCACCTTCAAACCCTGTTTGAAGTGTTTTTTGGTAAAGAGAAAAAAAGTCTTTTGTAAAAAGAATACGTGGGATCACAGGAAGGAAGACCGAGAGATGGGGAAGTCAAGTCCCAGATCCTCTAGGGAATTTGGAGAAAGCAAATATCCCAAGCATTCTTTTAAACAAGCAGCTTGGGCAGAGCACTTGAGCCAGGGCTGATTTGTGCATCAGTCATCAGGAAGGCCTCTGCCCGAGTAACCAGAGAAGACTGGGGGTGCCATGGGGCAGACGTGGGGAAAAGCAGGCTGACAAAAAGGGAAGGAGAAGACAGTGACCAATGTCATGCTCCGTGCAGCCCCCCAGGTGGAGAGGGTCAGTCCAGACCCCGCTTATCTCCTCTGTTTGTTCTGGCCACCCTCTTGGTCAACAGGGATCTGGCCAAGAGAGGCCAGCTTGTAGAACAGAACAGGGGTCATTCCCTATGTACTTCAACCCAGGGAGGCGAGACCACGGGAACTGAGGGCCTAGGGCTGGAGGAGACCTTAGAAATCAGGAAATTCAGGGTTTCTTTTCAGCTCCTCTGGGATTCTCCTTGACCCCTTTTCCAGTGGAGGGTGGGAGATAACACTGAGCCCCAGAGAAAGGAAGCATGGAGTGTAAGTACCGAAGCTAAGAGTCAAACCCAGGTCTTCTGATTCCCATTCTGATTTCTGATTTCCCCCTGATAACCAACCCGGGGTGGGATCTACCATTCCAGGGTGGGAGCAAGGCTAAGGCTGCTGAAGCCAGAAGTCCAGGGATCAAAGATGGACTGCTGCAAAGGATTTCAAAGGTCTTGTCTCATCCAATCCCCTTGGCTCCCAAAGGAGAAAACTGCAGCCCAGTTTGGGCTGGA